GGTCAATGTCGGTTTTGACATCTATAGACAAGAAGAAAATCTTATATCTCCTTATTTTAATGTGAGACTAACCAAATTACTTCCTAAAAATTCGTGACTTTTCATTATTTTCTCTATACGACGCCTCAAAAATTCAAGTCTGCAACTGCAGACAACTGTTAATGGTTTCTACCAGGCCCTGAACTTGCCTCATTGGAATTACGAAATCATTTTATGGCTGTGAAGTCAGGACTTTGGAAAAAGCTATCCTAAAGTAAGAAGAAAAGAAGAAACATTGCTTTTTTGTTTTTTTTTTTTATTTTTCAGTTATTTTTTAACTATATTGTGAGGCAGGATTGCATTACTGGCTTGCTGTGTTCTATAAAGTTTTCACAGAGCACGGCTAGGCTACAGGGGCATAATTTCACTTGAAAAATATCCCAACCTCCATAAAAACAAATCAGCTTAAGGAAAATTTTACTTCGAAAAGTCATTTAGTATGTGTTGGTTTCATAGAAGCAATGATTTTGATGTCCTTTTTCCTAATGGGATTGATAAAAAAAAACTCAGTAATTAGCAGAACATAATTTATGTTACTTGTGTTATCTTAGGTAAAGCACATAAACCGGTTCAAAAACAAACAAATCAAAAGAAAGATAAAGTGCTTTTCCATGAAAGTCCTGGTAAATTTATGATCAGCACAATTGCTTCATAAACAAATCTTGAGGCTTTAGTTACTCCACAATGATGACACCAATCTTCATCTCTGTTTCTCTAGGAAAAGGGAATAATCTATTTCACCTTTGCAGACTTTTTTTACAGTGTACTTAATTGTATTATCAACCTGGATAAACAATGAAGCTTCTGGGTCACTAGAACATGGGCATGAACATCCAGATAAAGTAATAATTTGGGTAAAAGATAAATAGAGTGAGTTCAGTGGAGTAGTAGTGAAAAAAGCTTTTTTTTTTCCTTAAATAATTGTTTTCTTGATCAATTAGACATTCTCTTTAATCAAGCCCTGATATTGTAAAGCTGTATACTTGTCTTCCCTTCAGAAACATCTTCAGACCACTAGGTTGGGGATGAGAATAGTGACAATCGCTAACAGCTACCTGGCACGCTCCTCATCGCAGCCTTGTGGGGTAGGTATAGTTATATTCTCCATTTTCTAAAGGAGGAAACTGCGGTGCAAGGAGGCTGAGGAACTTGCTCAACATCACACAGGCAATAGGTGGTAAAAATGGGATTTAAATTCAGATAGTTCTGGCCCCAGAGCCTGTGCTGCAACCTCCATGTAGACCCCAAGTTGCTCGTACCACAAGAAGCAAGCGAACATGCTGTCTGCCCTGCCCCCCCTACTATTGCAGCCTCCCCTCTTGTTGAGGAAATATGAACCAGTTCTTTTGCCATCAAGTCTGGGCTGGTGCAGAGGGATACATCCTGACAGAGGTGGGGACTAAATAGGCTCATGTTCTCGGTGCTGTTCAGAATGCCAGGAATCCTGACCCCAGAGACAGCTTCAAAGCCAGCGTGAAGCAAGCAATTCAGAAAGTAAAATCTGCACAAAAATGTTGGAAGGAGGCAATCAAGGGGATGATTGCCTGGAGTGAGGGAAAATGGACAGGTACAGGCAGAGAGGGTAAAACTGAGAGCAAGATAGAACAGGAAAGAGGAGTAAATTGTAGGGAATTTAAAACAGAACACTTCCATTCACGATCAAAATTAGGATACAGCAACACAGGTAAGAGTGAAGTATCATCTTGGTCCAAACTTCTGTTATAGCTGATAAACCAATAAATGTTTTTTTTTTTTTTTTTTTTTAAGAGACCTACAGTGATTTCTTTTGAAAAGACTAGGTTAGTTTCATACTAATCTTGACCTGCATTTAATGTGACTACAGAAAAAATCCAAGGTTACAATAAAATAATTATCATTTTCTTTATATTTTGGGAGATTCTATTAGGAATATTAAGAAATTCTATAAGGAATCTACATCTTAGAGGAAATTTTCATAATGCCTGTTCTTTTGCCATGTTTCATGTTCATATCTATGAACATGCTCAGCGACTTGAAATGTTCCACTTTTCGCTGAGATACTCCTCTTGGGCTCCCACCCAGTTCCTGTCTGTATCCCTCCACCCGATTTCCCATTGTTTGCCTCTCCTCCTTCACAATTCACCCCCTAATTTCTTTCTTTTTATTTCAGCATAATATGGAGGTACAAATGTTAAGGTTACATACATTGCTCTTGCCTTCCCTCCCCCCTCAAGTCAGAGCTTCAAGTGTGTCCATCCTCCTGACAATGCACATTGCACTTATAATGTATATATACACCCAGCCCCTCTCCCCTTCCCACCTGCCCAACACCAGATAAATGTTTTTTTTTTGTTTTTTTTTTAACATTTTGGTTAGATTTTATAACTTTGCCTTTACCTAGCAGTGTGGAAGGGAAGCACACACCCCTAATTTCTTTACACCACTTCCTGTGATTTTTGTTTCCACTGTCCTCTCCATTCATTACTCAACTAAACCTTTTCTTTTAAGTGGCTTTAATTCTAGCCACTTCTTCTCTTCTCCAATAATCCTTTCACTGAGTTTGTTCCAAATTTTAATCCTGCTGAACTCTCCATGAATCTTGAACCTCTCTTCAATTGGCTTCTTGGGCCTGCAGTGCCCTGGTTCCCCTTCCAGCCGCCTTCTGCCTCATCATGGATTGAACACTCCCTTGGCCTTCAGGTAGTGACCTCCCACACTGTTCTCCCTCACTGCCCCTGACACATTCTCATCTGTAGCTTAGGGTCAACACCGAACTTTTGTTGAATTCTAAAAATGGTGTTAATCCATAAAGGACGTGAGACTAAAAAATGTGCCAGCCAAATGTTTTACTTGCAGGGCTCCAAAAAGATAATAATGTGAAAAAATAAATAATGGCATATAAAAGATAGAAATGGCATATAAAAGAAGAAAATCAGGAAGTTCAGCAACAAACAAATGAAACAAAAAAACCAAAAGCTCACAAATCTCAGATATGTATTGTTACAGAACATTGTTAAAGAACAGCTTTTAAGTACAAGGAGCACATAACTTCTACACTTTATTAAATCAATATTTTATAAGATTAAAAGACAATAAAAAGAATAAAATCAACTAATAAAAATTTTAAACAGAAATCTGGCATGATGCTTGCAAAAAAATAGTATTATTGTGCTTATATTAATAGAAAACTTTACACAAAGGGTTAAAGAGAAAAACAAAAGGATTCAGTCAGAATTTATATGTCAATAAAAATAATAATAGCAATATCAACATATTTCTATAATGTTTGCTATTTTTCAAAGCATGTTTAAATGTGACACCCATGTTTAAAACTCATCATAATTGTGAGATATTGTGGTAGAGTTGTAGCTGCCATCTATTTAATAATTGAGGAAAACCAACAAGTTAGTGATTTATCTAAAATTAAATGGTCTGCTTTTAATTACTTAAAATTAAATGTTCTGCTTATTAAAGATACTATGCCTAGAAGTAAAGTGCATAAAACTTGCTACATATTTCATATGCCAATGCAATGACATCAATAGCCTTAATGATAGTTAATTCCTTCCTGGTCAAACACCATAATAAAAAGAGAAGACTTTGTTGACAATGGGTCAATAAAAAAAGAATTTTAAATTCATAGATTATCCAAATATTGTGTTCTACTGCAAACATCAGGGAAATGGAAAAATTATTGGTCTTAGCTTTCAGAACATACATATGTACACACACACACACACATAAACATACAAATGCATTTATATGTCTAAGACAGCTAAGGGCTACTTAACTCTTGAGCTAAGAAGAAATGGTAGCACTCAGACGAATTAAATGTAAATAAGTAAGAATGCTCATTTCTTAAATTCATTCATTTGATTCCCACTCACATAGCTTATAAAGTAGAACAAATCACTGAGCATATTTGGAAATAATCATTTGTAAATGTGGATAATGCCAATAATACCTTCTCTAGCTACTTCCTTCGATAAATAGGGCATTTGTGAAAAGAGCAGTAGCAATAATAACAAACTAGGCCTAAAAACATCTATACATTCTTTAGTTTCTAATACTACATTACTCTTAATAGAAGATAAAATAAAGATAATATAAAATGATCTGGATTATATTCAATTATAAATGGAGGATATTTGCATAAAACAGTGGTTCAACTTTATAATTTGAATAATTTCCTCCATAATTATCATGAAAAATACATAAGTTTAATTTATTCTTTAACTCACTTTCTTCTGGAATGCATGCTTGATAGGGTGCAATTTTAATTTAAAGCATTATTATTTTTCAAAAGACTCATTTGAATATTTTTTTCATTTAGGCTAGTATCTGACAAGTCTCTCATAATTATCTTACAAACCAAATCAAGAATGTGGGTGGGGAGGTGATAGGGTTCAAATGCATTTGCACAAGGTTTGATTATCACGCCACAAGAACATCAATAGTGGAAGAGATGGCAGCCTGGGCTGGTGTTACACAGAGTTGTCAGGCCCTGTTCTGTTAGGATTTATTTATGATTTGAATGAAGACAGAAGGTAAGCTTATAAATTTCAGGGTAATATAAAGCTGAGGAGTGTTTCACTGGAAAACAGAATTCAAATTTTTTAAACAAACAAACCCAAAACCCCAAACCATAGAAAGGTATAAATCCAGAAGATGAAATTTAACAAGGATCAATTCCTATTCCGTGACTGCCAAAACTAAAAATATGACCAAAGTGCTCTAGATCAAATTAGGGCTAATTCATTTTATCCAAACAGTACCTTTACACTTGTGCTGCCAATCTTGAAAATATATAGAATTTTCTGAATTGTAAAACCTCTGTTAAAAATCTCAAATTTCAGCCTTTGGATAGCTGATACTCTCCTTAGCCCATTTGCTTGCTGTATTTTGGTTTTATTTTCATTAGTATTCAGAAATAAGTCACCCCTGAGTTAGTAATGCCTACCAGTTGTTCCAACTTTACTTACCCTCTGACCCTCTTTTCCAGGTGGACCTTGGGGGCCTTGTATCCCCAGGGAACCCTGCGAGGAAAAGTAGACACATGTTAACAGATCGTTTTCAAGTGCACCTGCCTCACAAAGAATGTTGTGAAAATTAATACTTATTTCATTGGCTAAAGCAAAACTTTAAAGCGATTTGAGCTCTTCCAAAGTTAAGCTATGTAACATATTAATAATGATGAATTACCCTACTTTGACTGATTTATCTTTGTAGCAAACTCCAGAAAAGAAAAAAAAGGCAGTTCCAAACCAGGTGTAAGACCAAATGTTCACTCCCAGTGAAGAATCCCGTATGGTTCACGCTTCACCAAACTACCATAAATAAATGGAAACAATATTTGCAAGCAATAAAAGACCTCTTTATACATTTAAACTCTATCAATAAAACTATATTTTTGGTTGGGAATAAGTTTGTAAGTATCTTCTAAGGAAATATATGATTATGGTATTGACTTCAAACATATGTCTATAACATTTAACTTTTAGTATAGACATTATTTACTGCTTTCTCATAATATTGTCAAGTGGTAGGGAAAAAAATAATTTTTTCAGATCATGAAAAAGTCCCAGAAACTCCCAGGTGTTAATCTGGAAGTTGAGTCTCCTGATTCTTACAGATATTTACTATTATACAGGAATTTCTTCCCGACATGAAACTAAAAATGATGTTGCTATTTTTTTCAAAGCTTCAGCAGTTATTAGTACTTTTTCTTAGTCTTTCCTACTGCTTCCTCCTTCCCCATTCAACCATTAAATGTGTGGGATTTTAGGCTTATTTTCTTCTCAGTCTACATTCTCTCACCATGATCTCACATACTTGTGGGTTTCGGATTCTCTAGGCCAATGATTCCAAGATTTATAACCCCTGTTTATTTTTGAGCTGCATTCAGATCCATACACCCAACTGTCCACTGGGCATACCTACTGCTCAGCTACCTCACAGGCATCCAAAGTTTAGCACCTCAAACACCGATCTCAGGACTCTCCCTCCAAACCTGGGTCCTCTGCCATCTTCCCCAATTCAATAAATCCACACCACACCCTCCTGATGCCAGAATCTACAACTCATACTCCATATTTTATGCTCTCAAACTTCTCTCTCACATCCAGTCACCAAATCTGGTTAACTTTATCTCCCAAATGTGTTTGGATCCATCTATTTCTCTCCATTCCTACTGTTATCACTTCTTGCTCATCTGTAAGAGCTTTTGAATTGACTCTTCACATTTCTCCTCCATTCTCTACATAACGGCCAAACTGAGCTTAAGAAAACCCAGCTTGACTTTCCCTGACTTGTCACGTGAGGAGAAAGATGTCTTGTTTCAGTCTTATAGTGCCTTGTGCTTTTTCTTTAAAGTACTCACTACAAATTCATGTAAATGATTATTTGTGTAATGATTTGTTTCTTTCTCCAGGCTCCAAGCTGTAATAGAATCTGTGTCTTGATCATAATGGTATATGCCTGTTAATGGCTGAATGACAACAATTCACACTGGGGAATCAATCCATTCTAATAAAAGTTTTGGATGAAGACAGTAGTTTTCAAAAAGTTTCCAAATATTTATGATTAATCTGTCATCTATGAAATGCCTCAAATGGTTTGGAATAAATGAAAAATCGAATAATATAAATTCAAATAAATAGGAATTCACCTTCATTCTTAAAGAAATTCTTTTGTTATCTAATTTAAAAATAATTAGGATTCATTTTTATCATATTACCTTTTAAATAAAAACTGATGTCTACCTTTCAACTAAAACATACCAGTGGTCATGATGACCAATATTTATTATACATGTATTCACTTTAAATTTTTCTCGTAGAAATTAAATTTTCCCAAGTCATACATGCATCATTTCATCATCTAACTTTATTTTGAATACAAGAAAGTGATATACATATTTTAATTTTTCATTCAGATAGCTTTCGTTTGATTAAAGTTGTCAGAATTAAGTGTAAATTATGGTAACTAATTTTCAAAAAGTGTTAATACAAAAATTATGGATGTGTCATCACTTCTTAGTGTTCCCACAAATTTTTCTGACTCCTTCTCCACAAGATGAATAAAATCTATATATTTATTACTCTAATTTATTTTATCTACTTTGGAAACAAGTTAATGCTATAGTGGTATACAGAGCCTATGTTTTATTGACTTAGGTAGGAATAAAAACCAGGGAATGAAAAGTAATCATTTTTGTTTATAGTTTAAAAAAAGCACACCTGCCAGATGATATATAATATCATATATCATATATAATATCATATATATTGGCTAATTAGGCCAACTTTAGAATATTTATAAGGAAAACAAATGTTGAAATCCAAATATAGCAAGTATTAATTACAATATAATTACAGAGTTGTGTCATTTTTTATAAGACTGACACAATCTTGGCTCTAGATTGAACTCTTTTCTTTTATCCTTAACAAAACTATTATCATTTCATGACTAGTCACACTAATATTTAACATTTTTGATATTCATCCAAATGCTGACAGCTCATTCAGTGTTTTTAAACACTGGTAACTAAAACACACACATCAAACGTTCATCAAGGGAGTACACTTAATTCTGAGACACATAAAATAAAAATCTATACCTTTTACTATTTGGAGAAATTATACAGCAAAAGTCTACATAATGCGAAAATATTATATTTGATTTGAAATGCATTTAACAAATTAAAAAAATATTTATGAGACTCTTTCATGTGTGAGCTCCAAGTAGTAAGACACGGTACCCTCTCATATATAAAAACTCACTGCTTCCTAGATATTCATGATTCTGAACCCACCTCCTTCACTTTTGTCAGATCTAGGACCCAATCAAGAGTTCAACCCAAAATCAGGAAATACTTTTTTAATCTGTAGTGGATCATTCACTATTTGAATTGTCCATGACCAATTTGTAATCCTAGTCAGGTCGCCCTAAAGTTCAGAACATTTTTGAGCTGTATTAATTGACCATTAGTTGACATTTACAAAGAAAAATAATTTTAATATTGTTATTAGCAAAACACAGGTCAATCAACTGTAGAAAAATAATATATTTTCCTAAACTAAGAAAGTAAAATTTGGGGATGATTATTTACAATTATCCAGGTCACTATTCCACCCATTTAGAAAAGTCAAACAATGGATTTATTCATAACTTACTATGAAAATTACAGACATATCTAAGCTCCAGCTTACCTAAATTAAACTTAGATAGAACTCAGCATTTGGCTTAGAACCCCTTCACAGTTCTGTCTTATTCTGGCTTTGTGAAGGTCATTAGGCATGTACTATCAGCTCTCGAAGGATAGAGGCTCATGTTTTCCTAGCCTCTACCACGCTAATATAGAAGGAACTCAATAAACATTTGGTATACAGGATTATAAAGAAGAAAACACTAGGGAAGAACAATACTGAGTGTTGGTGGTTGCAGAAAAGGTTTCTGCTCTTCATATAATCATTTTTATTTTCAAAACCTGGACTTTTAAATGCCACAGTGCAGAACTTTCAATCTTGTCTGTCTTCCTCAGTCTGAAGTGATCATCCCATTCTCTGATGTCTGATAGTAAAACCTGCCTTATAGTTCATTTAAGAATTAATCTTTTACCACTTGTAATATCATCTTTATTATGGAACTTATTCAAGTCTACTACTGACATTTTGCAGATTTATATGATTTTTCTAGTTAAAGATTCTTATTCTTGATTATCTTTGTACACATGGCATATTTGCATAATCTGTGCATTTTTTTCTTCTTTGATTTAATTTGCCAAACAATAATGCCCATTCATTTTTTTCTACTTTTTTTCATCTACTTAGTCTACTATAAAAATAATTGTAAATTGGGTTTCTAAAATTTTATAAACATGGATTTGTTACTTTTCTGAAACACATGCTTGAGATTGTATTTGGTATTTTCATTATGTAAATGTATGTATCTCTATAGGCATTCATCTTATTTTTTAACAGAATTCTGGGCATTAAAAATGTTGACAAAAAATGGAACTCATAAGGTTGTTACCTCTTTTAACTAAGATAAAAATATGCAAAAGATAGCTCAAGCCATCTAAACCATTCTAAGTTCCAGTGGATAGCTGTTACAATGTGTTATCCTTCACATACTCTCTCTGGACAATCTGCTGATTATTTTAAAATGAGCTAGTGCTTATCATCATGGAAAACCATGTAAATATTTAACTGAGAAATTACTTAGAATTAACTGGTTCAGAAAAAAATTCTGACGTGTTTAACAAATATAGCAGATGTTTAGATGAGTTAATAGGGTAGATTAATCCCATTTGAACACATTTTCATTTGCAAAAAGAGGCAAGATGCATTCATTACTTCTCAATCAAGGAAAGGAGCTGAAGTAGAAAAGGAAAGTTTCATTTTAAAGTATTATTTGCACTCCCTTGCCAGGAATGTTGCAGTACATATGATACCTAATACCCACTTCAACAAAAATGTAATGCAAGTGTATTTTAAGTGTTATGATTATTGCTTTAGAATATGCTTCATAGACTTGAAACATAAGATTAAGCAGAATCTGCATACATTCTTCAAATACTACTAGGGGATTTTCTGCATTTCAAATAGAATGAACAAAATTAAACTGGAAAAATAGAGTTTGTCTTTACAGAAAATTTTGTGCCTTTAATATGAGAACAATGGGAACAAATTTTGTAAGGTGGGGGCATGTGAATGAAATTTTGTTTTCCATGTGTACTTGTTTCTCTTGAAAATGGATTGTTCTATGATAGGAAATAAGTTTTATAAAGGTTAAAAAAAAGCAAATAAGTAAAAACATAATAGACATATAGTCCAGTCATGGGAAATAATTTTTATATTAGTTCTGAGAAGTGGAATTTAAGAATGTTTATGATAATAATATATTAAAGGGCTAAGCGCTGTGGCTCACGCCTGTAATCCTAGCACTCTGGGAGGCCGAGGCGGGTGGATGGCTTGAAGTCAGGAGTTTGAAACCAGCCTGAGCAAGAGCGAGGCCCCGTTTCTACTATAAATAG